TAGTAGCAATACTTTTTAACTGCAAAGGTAATAGTTTCTTTTCATATTCACTTTTAATACAAATAATCAATACGTCAATATCTTTATGGGTCCTTTAATTCGGCCTTAATCATCATCGATGTGGCTCAGGGCATGCGTTTCAGTACTAAAGTATCTCGTATTACCGACGTGTATTTGAAAATCGCAGTCTTACTAGGTATGAGTAATCACGGATTGTTATGAGGTGTAGATATTCGAAAATAATTTAATGGAGGCGGGGTTTTCATCCATAAACAACCCACAATGAAATTCGGTGTTTAAACATCATTTATTGAGCGTGATTGTAAATATTGCCGCGTGAAACGTTGAAAAGATTTAAGAAACGACGACGATGCAGGGGGAGGAAGAGGCGACGGTGGTGGCGGCGATGTGGGAGGCAACATTCACGAGGGAGACACTGGGCAGAAGAGAGGACATACTACCTGTTATACATGGAGAGAAAATGCTTCACGAGGCTGTTATAGGTGCACGGAAAAAAAGAACCGTTGAAGTATACCAGATTCATGATACAGTAACAAGTTTCCTTGTTACAGTATTATGGATCTCGCATACTGCAACTATTCTTTTTTTTCGTGTGAACTGTCGCAATTATTTGAAAAAATTAAATCGAATTTTGGAATATTGTTGATATTTGTTATCTCGGTGTGAACTGAGGCATGGTTAAGGAAAGATAAATCAAACTGAAGTTTTCCGTGCGAATTAAGAGCGGACGTATAGACGAAAGAAATTCTGGATGTGTGCAATATTTGTGTTCAAGATGTAATTGCTATCAGATTAAATTGAGGAGATTGAAATGATGAGGAGAGAAATTTATTCTTAATGGCATGATTTTGGCAGCCATTTAAAAGAACGTATAAAACAATGCTACCCATTATTTTGTTATCGCATGTCATTTAAGTATTCTGGGTGCAAATTGGAAACGCCGTGAGCGAAGAAAAAGTAAGTCAGCGCATAGTCTCGTCCGAGAAGAGGGATTCGCTGCGCTAGAAGACAGACGGACGCTACAGGACGCACTTTTAGGTGTTTCTGTAATTAGGCCGAAAGATGGCGAGGAAATTTGGCGACAAAGAAGCGGTTTTATTTGAATTGGACATAAATAGTTTACAAAGAGGGAACGAAAATATGTAAGTTCAAGAAGGCAAATAAGAAGAAAAGTTTCATTCCTACCTGAGTGAACAGTACTATCGATATCTGAGAAACGAAGGGGATGAGGACTAAATTCCGAAAGCGTTTAAGTACGTTCTAGATAATGCACAGCAATAGTTTGTGCCTGGCAAATCCTTAAAAAAATATCCCAGATTTAGAGTATTACAAAGTGAAGCTAAGATATATGACGAAAAAAACTAAAATACTTTAAATAACAGACCTCGCCTTACAGATCATATCATCTATTTTTGAATAAAGAAAAAAAAAAGAATTGGAGCGTAAAACAAAAGTTCACAAGACTTGCATTTAAAACATATTCTAAACGGGAAAGAAAATAATTTTCCAGAGTTCGACAAATATGTTCGAAAAGTAAGAGGAAATGAAGAATTTAATTGCAATGATTTTTATGTCCTTAATAAATCAGACTCAATATGTTTTATAAAAATTTATTTCTGTTGACGTTTCGAACCTATTTAGGGACTTTTTCAAAAAAATGAGTGTCCAGTCTTGGTGAAACCACATCATAAAAAAAGAATATTAACAAAAAAATGACAATGATGTAAAAATCTGGTGATGTCATTAGCTGGTCAACTATTCAGGAAATGGAGAAATTATGATAGTGCGAGTTACTAAGAAAGCTTTCAAACACATATTTGGGCAAAAGCAAACATATTTAACCTTACTTCAGTTACGATATCAACACTATATCCCACCACACTCAGACAATATCAAATTACTTTAATATAGATATAAATACTTTACCAAAACGAATAAAATCGATAAAAAATGTTAAGTCGCTGGGACCAGACACCATTCCTAGTGTAATTAAACTCGCCTTGGGGAGAATTTTACCGTAGCTAATAAAATTATTTCACGTTTCAATCAACAATTCAAGCGCTCCTGACGACTGGAAGCTATCTACTATTTTTAAAAGTTGTGTTAAAACTGTTTTAGAAAATTATAATCCGGTAAATCTTACGCCGGATACAGATCGCACCGGTATTCGCCTCTGGCGGAATATATTAGGAACCAATCTGCTCTTCGTGACAGACGAAGAAGAATAATTTCGGTGCATCTACCGACATATTATTTAAATTATTTATTTTCTGCATTTACTGTTTATTAATCTTTACCACACCACTGTGAAAAGCGCCTGTAAAAATTTCGTATGTATTCATACCCGACCTTTTGAGGTATTGATGTCTATTACATATCGTTGAATTCACTTTTATGAATATAGATTTAGAAGAAAGCAAGAGTAGCTAGAAGCACCTGAAACACTCAAACTATTATCACGAAGCTTAAATTGCACTGTATAAACAATGTAAATGGAGTTGGTGCTGGACATGGAAATGTAAATAGTTATAATAACAAGACAAAGTTGATGTAGATTAGTTCATAAGTAGGTCGCAAGCTTGGTCGTAAGTAGGGCTCGGATGTTTATGACCTCAAAATGTAATACATATGCAAACATTTATGGTCTAAAAAATACAAAAATATGACCATAAATGTGACTTTAAAATTTTTTAGTTGCATTTTCGAAACATTCAAAATCTGTTTAAATAACCATTATATTGAAAATTTACTTTTAAAATCTAGTACATTTACAAATCACCCCTTCTCCTGTGGTGCCCCATGAAGACAATTCTACCTGATAAAATTATTTATAGAAGCGGTTGACATTTGCGCAAAACCTGACAAAACTAAACTCTCTTCCTTCACAAGACACCTTTCCACGTTTTCTTTTTCTCCTATTTAGCTTACCGTCTTAATTCTCGTACATAGGAAAGAGTGATAACAATTATATATCACTTCGGAGACTGAAAAATCTTTTTGAAACGAGTGCAAGCAAATATGCCATAAGTAAGTCCAAATATTACTGTATATGACACGTGAAAATTGCATAATTTTAGTCATTGTAGATAAAATCATTTTTAACTCATTTTTTCCAAAGAAATAACACAAAGAAAAATATGACATGTCATGAACATCCGGGCCCAACTCGTAAGTATTCTGTGTAAATAGCATTTAAGAATAAATATGAAAAATAACCCAAATGTGTCGAAAAGTTCTTCTAAATGTCCCCCCTCTCATGTTGTCCCAAATGTTCCTTCAGTTCTTTCCCAAAAGTTCTACCATATGTTCACTGCGTGTTCCATCACTTGCTAATCTGGAAATTAAAAAAAAACTCCCCTACAGCATGAAACGGGAATTTCTGAATACCTAAAGTGTCCTGAAGAGTGAAAATCCAAAAAAGTGGTAGAAGAATCCCAAAGATATTTCTCAATCTCAATGCAATCTCAAACTAGGGGTGCTAAAACAGCATATACTTTCTTGCCCCTTAGTAACGGTTGTGTAATAATATACCACATATCAATTAAGCAAAATATGGTTTATATCGAGAGATTTTACTTATTTGAGCATTATGCCATTTATTTATTGTATTTTCTTGTATCTTAATTTTAAGAAATCGAAGTCATAACAATGTTAAATTTCTTGTGTTGGTATCAAAGCTGGCAAAAACTATTCAAAAGGTCCGCAAGGGTATTAACAATACCGTTACGTGTTTTGTTTCGTGACCGTAAACACACAGCAATGAACTAGTAAACCATAAAATTATTTCTCGCCTTATCTCCAAAATATTCTAAGGTCATTCTTAACTATTTCAGTTTATTTTAAATGAAGTCATTGAAATAAATACAGACAAGCAAGGATAATTTCACACATAAATTGCACATCCAGAAGTAAATGTCATCCTATATATCCTAGGAACTAGTTCTACACTCATGACTAACCTCTCTGCTTCTATGGCAATGTAGTGCAGGTTAGCGTTAGAGGAGCGTCGATAATCAGACGGAGAGGTCGCGCGCGGTCTGTTGGATGCTGCTCCGGCATTCGCTCGGTCACTTACTCAATAGGATATCTCGTTACTGAACATACCTCTGAATACCGGCTGAGCATGCCAACATCAATCTTTACATTTAAAACGCCCAGACTTCGAATTCTTTCTCACGACAAAACTCTTCGCCAGCTATAACATACACAGTCTTGCTTGCCGGCGCTAGACGACGAAACGTCAACTGTTGCGATACATCGTTTGCAGCGCGCACATGGTGAAGACCCACTACACTGTACAGATCTAGATAAGAGTGTCAAATTACAAAAGCATGCGTAAGTTAAGTCCAAGCTTTCAGAGATTTAGTGTAGAAAATACAGTGATTATGATGTGAAATAGAGTTATTGCGAGTATATTGATTAGCACGAAGGAGAATCAAACGAAAACCGCAAACATTTTATTACAAATATCTTTTCTTTTCAGATTTTTGGATATTTGCACACACGGTCCTAGTCTTTCCGAGCGGATGGAACGAAGCTGTGTCGGTATTCTCTGATATTTAGAATGACTTCCGACGTATGATCAACTGGGGCACGGTTTGCCAATCGGGAGCTTCAACTCCAAAAGTTGAATTTTAACTAAGCTCCAAAAGGATAACCGCGTTCCAGCTGATCAATCTTCAGAAGTTACTCTATTATCCGCTCACCCTAAGAAAAAACCTGATGTAATCAAACTGAAGAAATGTTTGCGTTACACTACACTTCTGATTGGACGCGAGTACCATATCCCGCCAATTCAAAGTGAATGAGAGCTGTCATGCAAATGTCATGTTCACGCAACTACTTTACTTACGATCAGTCTGCTTCAGGAAGTGGTTGTAAATTATTACGGAATTGGTCTAAAACTCGGAAGTTCTTTATTACAATTCACAACAATTTTACAAGCGTTGGTGTTTCGTTTCTGTACTTTTGTCCTTTTGATGCAAGGAATGCACTTTCGATCGAACAGCACTACCCACAAAGTCATCGTATACTTTAATGACAGCTTTCTTTTCCTTTATTTTCTTCTCTGGCGTTCGAATTGTCCCTTTTCAGTGATATAGTTAGACAGAAAAACCACTTATTGCCGTGGTAACGAAAAAGTGGACAAATCCTGTTGCTATAGGCAGTAAATAACTTTCTCTAACACATGGTGTACCCAGAATCCATATGGGTTCTTGATACCAAAAAAAAAAAAAAACCAAACTGATTGAAAGCAGATTGTGTCTGTTCGAGGGTCTGTCTGTCCGTCCGTCTGTGTTCAATCTGCAGCCAATTTTCGCCGAAATTGCCTGAAAGGAGTTTTTGCAACCCTAGATCACTAAAAATAATACGAGAAAGTATGTAATATTGCACCACTAGTTCCTTCTTATAGGCCTTCGTATAAGAGCGTTTCTGCAGAATGTTCTTTTTACAGCAACTATGGCTGATTTTTATTGCTTTCATAACTACACTTTGTTTTTATTACTTACCTACAAACAGAAAAATCCTGAATTCGACGTTTAAGGTAAAAGGTCTTGTCCATGTACTTTATAAAATTCGCTAGGAATGCAACATTCTTAAATATAATTATTTTAAAACAATATTTAAAGGATTTAAGCCAAAGGCTTATACTTTATTATTTGGTACATCACTGTTAATATTATATCTACTGTATACAACTTTCAAAATTACTCTCAATGTCATTTTACATGCACTAGAAAGTTAAATATATTACAAGTCTCTTGAAAGAGATATTAAGTCTTGAATCACTGTAGGGATTGCACTCGGTTTTATGTATATTTTTATTTGCATTTTGCAGCTTTGCTTAGGGCTCAGTAATCCTTGGCTTAAGTACCAAATAGAGCTTCAAGTTAGTGGATTTGTTCAACAAATCCTGCACTTTGGCACCCCTTCATTCGTTTTTATATAAATATACACTCAACAAACACAAACGTTTTGGTTATGAATGTGATTTGTATCACAATACTCTCTTTTAACAGTTAAAAAATGTAAATATAAAAACTTCACACACAACTCTGTCTAACTTTCTTAATTAATTCTGGCTGTCCAGGTTGCACAGGTACATGGAAAATGCTAATTCTTTCATCCAGCATCAATCTATCAAAAGAATGTGTATTAGTCCTGATTAATTCCAAATCTTGTTTACTCATCATTATGAAATGTTGAATTTCTCCAACTGAAACATAAAAGAAGTAAACACAACATAATGGGTAAAATGGAGCAATTTCGTCCAAATCCAATTCATTCACGAGCAATACATCAATATGTAAATTATTCTATTTTATCAATGAAAAACCGCTTATTTTTAATAAGTCCATCATGAAGTTAAAATTACGTTAAAATGCAATTTAGAACAATCCTTATACAAACCTTTTTTGAGAGGTTCACAATCACAGTTTTCATCCATTCTTAAAACCACGTTCTTTCTAAATCTTTTTGGAGCACGTCTGGGTGTTAGGTCAAGAAGAATACGTGCATGGGCCTTCTTTAAAGCCATCTTGTATACAATAGTCGAATTACAGTACAAATGGGAAAAGTCTTGAGGAGCTGTATTTGTGCAATGCGGGCAATTTGTGTCGAATTCTGAAAAATATGAAAAATAATTATTGGTGACTTTTCTTAACTTCGAACTGAATAATACTTGTCGAACATTAAAAAAAAGTTTCTGTATTCATAGAAAATTAAGTATTTAAACTCCCTCATTTTGAATTCAGTACTGAGATGTGATAACTCTAGTAGTACCATTCATTCTAACATTCTACTTCAGAAACCTAGAGGTCATAATCATGAAACTGGTTAGCACCTCACCTTCTTCGGAGGGCATGGCGCGATCGGACTGCGGCAGAGCGTACGCCGGGTCGGGGCCCTCATTGCCAGTCGGCGTCTCCAGGTCGTCATCCACATTAACGAATTGCTGATTTAGATGCTCCGGGATTCCCGTTTCGTTGTTGACGGGCACGGGCCCGGAATCCGGAGTGTACGACGGGGCGTCTCCCAGCGTTACATTCGCTGCAATAATGAAGTAATCCTGCATTATTACTCCGACAATAAATACGTGCGAGATTAACCAATTTCTCTACATCTCCGAGGAGTAACCAAAACCGAAGTTGACTTCTTCCGGAACAGAATTTCACGAGGGACAATTGAGTTAAATGTAGACGTTACGTTACAAAATAAAACAATAATCATATAGCTATTGAGAAGTATTAAAATGCACTCGTGTTAGTGAGAATTAATAATTTTTCATTTAATTTACCCGAGTCGAGGTCTCGCAGTGTCTGATCAGCAATCTGAGGTTGAGGATCTGGCAATCTTTCATTTCTGCATCCAGCATCTGTAGAATATTTCTGCAAATAAAACGTAATTTATAAATATCTAATGTTCTAAAACTGATGACTAATTATTCTTAATTAATAAAAAAGTCCAACCTGCGACAATGACAATTCCTGACGATAGTAATCGTACACAGTTACAACGGCAAATGTCGGATTTTCTACGTCTGCTTCTTGTGAAATGAGGAAGCTCACGCAGTTCCATTTGTTCGTAAGTTCTTCGAAATAGAAATTAACCTTGTCTTCTTCTTCCTCCCATCGTTTGAACCCCTCTGCAAAGAAAAATATTAAATAAGAGGAAGTAACAGCATTCGTTGTGAGAGAGCAATTCATGGCCATTTCTTAAATTACGAGAAGTGGTGCACTTAAACTGCAAGAAAGTCTTGAGAAAGGTCTTTGACCCCGCGCGTGATGAGGGTCAAGATGAAAAACGAAGTAATTTGAAAGTGACGCGTCGACAACATAATACCCGACAGAAAACGCTATTGCAATGGAGCATCATCTTGAAAGAGTCATCCAGAAACATTCTGTGAGCTAAAATCATAACTGATTAGTTTTTACGATCTTTTATTTTTGAAATGTCTGCTTCTAGGTGCTAAGAAATAAAAAAAATGAACTACAATAATTTGGAATGATTTGTTTTTTAAATGAATTAAAAATCGATTAAAACGTTATGTAATTGATTTTATACGTAAGGGAAACCCAATATTTTACAATTCAAGAACACGCAATGTAAAAATAATCGGAGCGTTTCAACACTTCTAATTAAAAGACGGATGGATCGTGTGTTGAACATGACGCCTATTTTTACGTATCGCGTTTGGCCCAGCCTCGTGTCGTAGCTGCGCAAACAGTGGAAGAAGCCCCCCTGGGACGCTCCGTAAGCCTTGTACGAGCACTCACTTGGCCCTTGGTTCACCGCCAAATGGTGAAGAGAAGACCTGTCGGGCTTGTACCCCGACACCATGTTGACTTCCAGCACGGCCATGTTGGACGTCTGGCCGGGCAGCTTGAAGCGCACGCACGCCTCCACGCGCTGCACGGCGCACGCGTCCACCGAAGCCACGGGGCCCGTCTTCACGTCCAGCTCGAACGCGTCGCTGCCGGAGGGCGTCTTCACGTTGTACCTGAGCGACGCCTGAAAGCACGCGCCTCATTCCTCTTTGGGCCACGGGCGGAGCCCGTTTCCGAAAGATGACAAATCCACTGCCACAAGTTGTGCAGTAGAGAGAAAAAACGTATTGTAATTTATTCCATATATTATTCAAAATGTACACGACTTTAATTTTCAATTTTGCACATTTCGATGTAAAATGGAGGGAATTAATTAACTATCAAAAATTAATGTTTTTAATAATATTTATAAGCAACTTTTTCACTGAAACCTATTTAAATTACTAACAATTGGAAAAATTATGAATCTTTAACACTCATTCACACCCACAGTATAATACGAATAATCGTAATAATACAATGTAATGTGCTATTAATGAAATAATACGCATGCATTGACCAAGACTATTAAACAATCCCACTAGGGGGATTTTCACGAACTAAGAATTGTTTTGTTATCTTAACAAAAGTACTGAATGTATAGTCATAAGCACCGTCTTGATACGGATTTCACTGAAAGGTAGAGTACTCCGTCGACATTATTTATGCTAGTTTTTTGGATCATAATTTTCTATTAAATAAAAAACAGGTGCTTAAAAATCCAATCCACAGTATCGCTACGACAAGGTAAACCTATGGACGGGTGCACCTAAGACATTACCTCCGTCCCTTCCCAAAGCCAATAACACATATTAAAAATATGGATTTTACTAATTTTCTACACTAACGAAAGTCATTCAATATATCAATTACTAAAGTTATTAATATTAACAAAGCCAACAAATAAAAATATATTTTATCTTTAGCATAAATAAAAAACATTATTTATAAGAAAACATCAAATCGGCTGGAAACAATCCTCATAGTCACACACTCGCATGCACGCACGCACGCACCCACATGTGTGCGCGCGCACACTCACAATACACACACACACACATACACAGAAAAATCCTCGGTGCGCCTCTGTGCATAAGCATTTCCCTCATCCAGCACAACTTTAAAACGCAATAGGGACTTGGCGGGTGGCTGGGGGTGGGGTGGGGGCGTACGCACCTGGATGAGCGCGCAGCCTTCGCCCTCCGCCTGCACCTCGACGCGCGTGGGCAGCTCCGGGAGCGGCACCGTCTGCAGGATGAGCCGGTCCTCGTGGCCGATGTGGAACTTCTCTTGCACGCCGCTGGCCGTCAGCAGCAGCGAGAGGGCGGTGCGCTGCTGCGGCACCAGGCTGGCGTACTGCGTCAACGCCTCCAGCGCCACCACCGTGTCCTGAAAGCGAACGGCCAGCGTCTGCACCGCGCGGCACACGAGTACAAAACACGACCGCTGTTCTACAATGGACTTGTCATGCAGATGGCTAATTCCCCTAGGCAGCTAAAGTTTAGCACGGTCTTGAGAAAGCATTATGACTAATACTTAGTCCCAAATTCTTTCTCAGTTTGAAGCGCAAACAGGGCTATTACCTTCAAAATGACCTTAAGTTCCACGGAGGAGGCACTTCAATTTTCCACTATTGAAATTTCAGCGAAAATAATACTGCCATTTTGAAATTATCAAAGAGAAAGTGCTTACGAAACGTGGCCTTATGAGTGCACCTGTCCACATTAACATGTCTAAGTTTTGTTACCACCCATGTGAACAATGTACGTGGGACACTTTATACCACACACCGCCGTAGATGGCTCAGGGCATCAATTCATGTCACTGCTGTGCTTATCACCATGAGGTCCTAGGAAACCAGTTCCCACAGTGGCACGATTTTCGACTTTGGTTACATAGCTAGGTCGAATTAAGCCGCTGTCTGGAGAAGAATGCAGGCGGTCGGCTGCTCCGATCCATGTTTTTTCGAGGTTTCTCCGATCAACATCGGGCGAATGCCAGAGCAGTAGCCTAACAAACGGGCCACGGACTCCGCGCGATCTTTCCTTCCTCGCCCTATCCCCACTCCTTACATAGAAACACTTACACTTACATGCACTACACTACCACACATTCCGGGAGACCGGTCGGGAGCTTAGAGCTTGTCCCGGCTGAGGCGGTGCCTCGCTGCTGGGAGATACATACAGTAGTTCGGGATATCGCGGCAAGTCGTCGGCGCCGGACGTCACAATCCAATAGAGGAAAACCGCCACCTCCCGCGATAAAACGTACGTTGCACCTAATGACCTTAGTAGTTGACGCGCTGGGATACACTAATCAATCTCTAGGCGCCAATGGAATGATCAAACGGCGAGTGTCACGCAGTCAACGCGAACGCCACCTTCCCGGTTTCCCCAAGTCATCGCTTTGGCTCACGGAAGGTTCCCCGAAGGGCCAAACTGGCGGCCACCGATCGTACACAATATATCGAAATTATTCTCACTATAAGGCGCGCAATGTTTCTTATTTGTATGTGTTTGATGTAGACAGGGGAGGGCACCAGAAATAACACACGCGACTTATTGTGTTGTGACGCAGCTGAGTTTCCGAAGAACTTTGAATCATCCTTTACAGTGAAAGTGTCCCTTCAAATGCAATTAGTTGCAATTCCTTACATTAAAAACCTGTTCTTTGTTCTATAGTCGTCACCCTCCCATTATTGCATTTACGAATACATACAATGATGTCTTATAAAGTTTATCAAAAATTCAAAACTTTTGTCAAAATGAGCTGAAAATTCGGTATTAGTACTCTTTTTTCTATCTTTTGTCATTATTCAACATTAAAGAACAATCGATCTTGTGCGCGCGTGTCGTTCAAGTTTCGCATCACTTGAGTGCATCTCCAAATGCGCAGAAGATCGATAGTGCTGTCCGGTTTGGTTTGTACAAACTTTCTAACGTTGGTCCATTTCTTATGTCTTACTTAAGCATAAGCGCAGAAGCTTGAAACTTTTATGTTGTCTTACGTGTTATGCTTATGCGAACGCATTGTGAATGAGTCCGCTTATGGACGTAGAGCTTACTTTTATGTTAACGGAATGCTCATGTGTATGTTTGCATTATGAAAAGGTCTGCATTGTAATGATGACCTACACCAAGTAAAAATTAGAATACATTACTTAAGAAAGTGCCGTGCACCACTAGTTATTTTTTTGATTTGTGAAGGAATAACATAGTTACCTTCTGAAAAGCTGTCAGAGGTATTATCTGGAAAATGGGCAATCTAACATAATAATCAATAGTATGCAGTGGAAAAGAGAAATCAGTTTCGGGATCATGTTGGGAGTGAATGTTAATAATCAATAGAATTTAGAAAAACATCGGCCCCGACTACCAATATCAAATACATTCAACTTCAGCTTTCCCAGCAATTAACCCCTCGAAGGTCTTGTTTATGTTCTAATCGATTATTTAAAAGGAATTGAACTTCACATGAACTGTCATCAATTAAACGAGAAACATGCACTCCAGTAAGTTCAACAACAGTGAGAGGAGAACTCATTTAGTTCCATTTGTACCCTGATAACTATCTAATACTAACTCTTGAATTGGTTATCTAATGATTTCCTTTTAATGTGCTCGTGCCTACTCTTAAACTATTTTCCTCCTGTCATACTTCATTATACCAACTAAGCAACATAGAAAAAAGTGATAAAATTTCAATTCAAACATTTTCTCGTGAACGATTACATTAAATGGTACAATTTTATTAGCACGAAATTTCAAAAACCAAAATCCGGTGATTAGAATCGCACGTTAACTGGGTATCGTGACGCTGGGGGACATCGGAATCGTACGTACACAAGATGAAGTCAAGCAGTTCATTATATGAATTTACGATGCCATTATGTTTAAGGTCATTAGTGATGTCAAGAATATCTAGTTGAGACCTAGACACTTGAGCAATCTGCGATGATGAAGATAGCACTCTGGCACCCTCCGAAAGGTCGTTCCAGCATATACCAGGGAGATTGAAATCACCGGACGGCAGCAACGATTGAGGCCGATGTATCTCAAGAATGTCAATAAGATATTCAGCATATCTGGTGTATATTTCAGGACCGCTCGTCGGAGGGTATAGGCAACTCTTTTATGACCAGATTGCTGCCTGCCAGAGTTTGTCGAACACACAATTGTCGATCTTGATAAACCTCGAATCTGTGTGCAATGAATGTAATCCTTAACAGCAATAAGTACCGCTGCCCTTCTTGCATTGGCTATACGAAGAGTCACGATCACGATGATACGCTGTGTCCAGCTCACTGTGATAAGCTTTTAAAATGTGAGAGTAAAGCTTAGTTCAGATCTTTTTTTAATGAATTTTGACTAGTACATAGAAAAACTGCCATTAGTTAAATCTTATTTCCCTTGGAACAGCTAGGATGATGTGCAACCTTAACTCCCTGCATATCTTAACTCCCTTGGCACAGCTAGGACGATATGCATCTTTACATATGACGCATTCAATTAGTTGTTGTGTTAGATGCAAAAACTCGCAGACCGTTCAGTAATTGTCGACAGAAATTGAGACGTCGGCTACGCTGGAGTTGTTTCCAAAGGGCGAAGTCATAGTCTTAATTCAAAATCCGTATTTGTTTGAACAATATCGTTACCCTAATAACACGCATGGTTATGATAAGGATTTGTTGAGAGTGCTGCCTTAATGCACATGTGGCAAGGGTAATCCAAAAACTGAAGTTATGAAAAAAAGTCACATAAACAAGTCGCAATATCTCCCAGCATCCTTGTTGTAAAAGAGCCACCTTCAATCAGAGAGCCCAACGACACCAGCATACCAGACGGCACCCCAATTTTTTTCTTAAACTTTGCCCTCGGAAAAGGAAGCTTAAAAGAATAGAGTGTGTCTCATTTTCGATCAAAACTCTGATTTCTTGAAAATTGTAAATGTTTGAATTTTTTCGGCGTCTTTCTACAACTACAATATTGAAGATAAGAGATTTTCCTTAATGAAAGCTGTTCTTTCTAGGCAGATCTTGAAATAAGTATGTACAATTTTCCGAAAATACCAGTAGTTTTCGCGTAATTATCCATGTAATATAAGCACTTTTTCAACAATAATTTTCTCGGCTCCGATTTTGTTTTTTTAATTTTGCCCTCGTATGTACAAAAGAACGGTAAAAGAGTGTTGGAAGTCCTTTATCAAGCGAAGTCCTTTTTGTCTGAACAATACCAGTATGTAATAGACACAAATGCACTTGGATATTAATAAACATTCTAAGAAATGGCAGATCTTGAAACAGTAATAGTCACGCTTGGTACGGCATCACTCCATTCGCGAAGCCGTAATAAGGGAAAACTGTGTAATTACGTTTCATTATATAATGGTGTTTCGTAATTGAGTATTATGAACACTGCATACAATAACAAGATGCTGTTGTTTTTGATGTAGTGCTCAGCGACTACATTATTTTTTCTTCATGTTTATTAATTGAACATTGCATAAAAGAATATTGAATTTTCACGACTGCTTTGATCCCAAAGAATTCTATTTACTAATTAAATCGAGGTTGAATAGAGACAACATCGTATGGGCGACATGTTGAACTCATTTTAGTTGCACAGTGTTTCTGTAGTTAATTATTATCATTTGAGAACTACAACATCCTTTGTACACATTTACGCTCCAAGTACTACTGAAACTCCTTCTAAAGTGAAGATACGAAGGTGTAAAAGGGCAAAAATCACAACTCCTCGAGAATTGTATGTGAACTATGTATAAAAAATAATGAAATGAATTTAATGAGTTAATTTGGTTAATCAATTGTAGAAAAGATTTGACCATGATAACAGTACTTTCTATGATAACAGTAACTTTATTTTCTATTCTACGTCAAAAGTAAGTAAAGTACGACTACATTGTTGGTGCTTTCATTACAGCATTAGCAATACTAGTGTACATAGACTACGTTCAAAAAGTCGTTTCAATCATGCCTTTTGGCGTGGCGAGAAATATTCCTTCGCTTCTAAACATGAAGCCGGAGGAGGGGGAGGGTATTATCATGTTACCATCACTCAACGCTATTAAAAACATTATCTAAAAAATTCTTAGATCCAAAATTAATTATAACAGTGCTATGTATTAAATATATAAAATGATTGAATGTTTTGAGACAGAGGATTCAATCTCCTCCTCGAGATCTTGAGAGAACCAAGGCGGTTGTGATTTGGGAATGTTATTAAATATCTTCTAACTCGACCTACGTGACAGATTGAGTGTATATCGACACAGATAGTGAAACAGCAGCTTCACTGATTTCAAAATTGATGTTGTTTCTAAATGGTGCCACTATGCTCCGTGAGATATTTAAGAATCGTGCGTTGCACGAAAGTTGTTGGAAGATCGACGTGAGCGATATTAGGCGATCTATGGAACTAGGTTACTCTCGGTCATACTTTGATAAGAGCGTTTGAAATGACATACTTAATATAATACCGAAACAATGATTACTCCAAATAGCTTAGTCATAGGGAGTATGAAATGAATAAGCCGATTATCAATACGATCTTGAAAATATAGTTCTACTACAGAAAAAAATTTGCAATCAAAAAGACAATTGAATCTTTCACATAATTTCGGCAAAAAGTACAAATTACTATACTTTTAAACTATTTAAATCATTGTCCTCACACATGCGTTAAACAAATAAAAACCTCTTTACAACTCGTTTGAAAACAGTTTATGAGTAAAATAATATAAAACGCATAAACCAAATAAGCGTCATTCCACGTCAAATCGCACACTCGCAAAATATCACTATTTTTTAGCGACTTGAAATTTTTTTATGAGTACTAGGTGACACGTATTTTTTTTCTTTTCTTATCCCACACTCTTTCAAAAATATTACCATTTACTTTCTCCGAAGAATCATGCGCGCGCTAATGTTTACATGTTTTGCAAATACAGCGTTATACACAATAATAAAATTACACTTCAATTTAACTTAAAAAGATGTACTTTTATGTAGTGTAAATATATTTTTGTAAATATATTATTTATATATTTAAAACATATTTTTATTTTCAAAATACAAATTTTTCCTTTAGGTCGACACTTAATTATAAAAATACTCATGTATATCTTCTCTAATTTTATATTTCTCGTATACTAATTGCAATTACAATATTCTCGATAAAAGATTGCTTTCAATCCTGATAGAAACCTTTTAATTTAACTGGGAAGTTATTGAAGTGGACTGATGGTAATGTGAAAAACATCACCTTTATATTTTTAGCAACGCTGAACAATACTTGGAAAGAAGACTATTGCAACAATAATATAATAAAAACACATCAGAAGGCACAAGGAAAATACATAGTTCCATTGCTTTATGAAAAGGTCAATTAACTATATTCTCTGTAAAGTGAAGTAAAAAAGTATCAATTTAATTAATTGTAACACATACTCTTATTCGTATAAATATTCCGTCCGTTTAATTCTAAATTGAATCACTTTGACACTTAATTCGAATTTAATCGTCTATGAAGGTCATATGTACATATCCGGCTCATATTATGATGGAAGGATACCTCTATTTTTTGTTATGTGAAAGTATATTGATGGTAATCGTCTACTGCTGATTGGCCCATGTTTGAGGGGTGACGCTCTAGCAGATGCGGTAGCAAAACAGCAAGTAGACATTTCTATTATATTTAATTTCTCAGATTCATTTCGGTGTCCCACTTTGTAACTTCCCACGTTTATGAAGATTTTTTTAGAGTTTACAATGGTATTTTTTCAAATTTTGTAACTGTCAATTTTTGGAAAAAAATAAAAAATTGGTCATTTTTTTTAATTTAATGAATTCAATACACGCATCAAATGAAAGAGCATCTTTTGTTCTTTAAAGTCGCAAAATATTAATTTTATGTTACAACTACAACAGAAGTTAAAAATGATTAACTCTAACGATGCGAGCATTCCATCGAAACTTTTGAAAATTAATGTAATATCAAAAAACATTATTTGGGAAAAATGAAAAACACGTGGTTTATAGTTTTGTTTATACTCTTCACAGAAAAAAGTTTAAAAATCTGAGACATCAAGGTCAAATTTTCCTTAAATTTGTGCGATTTGACGTGGAATGACTCATTAAGGCTTGAATTCAATACGTGATAACTAATTTTTCGGATACCCCTGTACAGAATATTTAAATGGGGCATCGAACATCGATTGCTAAAAGTGAAACCAGGAGTTTCAGATCCACTATGCCTTACCTTGTGAATTATTTTAATCCAGGGAATAAATTATTCTTTATTTTATTCCATTCCCTATTATGAAAATATATTTGTATGCTTTTGTCCGTAAACTACATGAAGTAGAACAGGAAAAATAAATATGATAGTATGTTGTGAAGCACACACAACACATATAGCTCGTGTATTTGTTCTGTGCAGTTGCCAGTTTTACATTGCGTTGGCTACAAACGAAAATTTTAGTAATTTGTTTTCAGAATACGGGCCCTGGTCGCGTGAATGGTGTCAGACAAGTGGTAGAGCTGATTGCATAGAGCATGAACTGAATGCGCCCGTCGCGCTGTGAATCCCCACCCTCTCACCTTTTACCCCTCCGGGATGTTATTTGTTTTTTTGTTTTGATATTTTGAAGTTATTCTCTCGCGTGTATATACAGCAATAATAAGAAATAACATTAATTAAAGTTCGTAAATTTACTCTCAATGAGAAAATTTGTTACCACGAGATACTTTCAAATTATTTTCGAACAGAAACCACACTCTCTTGTGTGTCGACGGGGGTCCTCATTTGGGGCACCTGTCTTTGGGGTGCGGTGCACCCTTTTTACCAGCCTATGCTCCTAAACTCGTTTCTATTCAGTATTCCATGTCATTCCAACGCGTACGTACAGGGGGGGCCAAGGATGGACGATGCCCCTTTAAAATATCGAGAGGCCCCGCAACCCCTCTCAATAAAACTATGTAATTAGTAAATATGTTCGGTACCTGATTTTCTCATTTTTAACTTGATAATTCTCTGAATTGTTTTTCATTTGTAAAAAGAGGTTTTTCATCTGGCAATTCTCTAAATGGTTCGCCATAAAATTAATTGTTTTTATTAATTGAGTCATTAAAGTTATACATTTATTCCCTTTGAATGTTTAGATTAATATTTTGCTAGTACAATATATGGCTATTAAATAAAAGGATAGAAGTACAATGCAAGGAACAGAAATGGAATATTGGAGACGGTGTTGTCAGGTTGCCCGAAAGGAAAGAATTAAAAATCAAAAAATAATAGAAATAATGAAACCTGAGAAATCAACCATAGCGCAGATGAAAACAAAGGCTCTATTATGGCATGGTCATTTAAGAAGCTTGGACAGTGAGCGACTGCCAACGAATATGTGGGAATAGTATTCTGAAAAAAGAAGATAAGAGCAAGAAGGAAGTGGGAGAAGGATGTTAGATCAATGATGACGCTGCCCGGTGAGGTAGGAAGGAAGCGGGGTGAGGCAGAGGCAGGGTGCCCTGACGCTACCTGCGTGGAGACGAAGCCGCCGTGGGCGTTGGCGTTGCGCGCCAGCCAGCGCACGGCGTCCAGCGCCTGCAGGAAGTGGTCGCGGCCGCCCGCGCGCAGCAGCGACAGCGCGCCGTACGCCGTCGCCTCCACGTCCAGCGCCCGGTTGCCCGCGCCTGCGCACACGCGCCACCTCTCCTCTGCCACACGACAGCAAGAGCCAGGGGATCGCTCCTTCTGACATAGCGGCTTCGCGCAGCCACGCAGAGGAACTCACTAAGCCCGTCAAGGATTTTAGGTCACTTCGTTTTAACATGCAACCCTTCAGCTGGGTTGACTGCACTGGGACCTACCTATCTGTATGTTAAGAAATTTAACAGCCTTAGCAAAGGGTTTTAACATCATTTGCAACCTAAATAAACAACCATCGATTCATCGAAAATCGAATGTTTAGTAAGTGTTGTACATAACGATGTACAAAAATCACATTCAAACAAATCAGAATGAAAGTAATTATTTTTGACGATAATTACTGTTAATTGTTCCCTAGTAGAATTTTAAAAAATGTGTTGGGTAAATTAACCTCTCTTTCCTGGCATACCAGCAAATGAAACTTCTCTGGTAATTACATTTACTGATTAACTGAAGGTGTTGCCACTGGAAGTCAACTGTGCTAGGGACTTGTACTTAGTAAAAAACGTTTCGAATTAATGTAAACGTACGGTTTCGCGGCTCTAGTCCATGAGTTCTTGGCTGCTTCTTGGTGAGGTCGCGTCGTTGTCGGAGAGGTCGACGTTTCGCCTGTCCTTTCGCATGCTTCTTCAGGGTAGTGACGTCATTACCCTGAGGAAGCCTGCGAAAGGACAGGCGAAACCTCACGCTCTCAGCCAACGACGCGGCGTCACCCAGACAGCCAAGAACCCACGTTTCGAATTAAGATTGAAAATTCTCAAGTGAAACGTTTTCTTAGTTTCTGAATAAGTTAAATCGTATTTTAATGAGTTGCTCACCATCTGCCCAGCTTTACTTGATTTCTTGTTTTGCATGACGCGATTAGAGTGGGAGATTGAGCAACCGCTGTACTAGCAAATCAATTCTGTCTTTCAATGCAACGAAGTTTATATTTTACAGGAGCAAACATTTCTTGTCAAATACTTGTTTTATTCAAAGTTGGACTATAAGTGGTAAAAGATGAGGGATAGTGATTCAATAATGAAGGAAAGAAACACGTCTGCACAGAATACACTAGCTCTGTTACTCACAAAGCTATTGATAATCTTGTGCGGAGATGACTAGTCGATTCCGAATTTGTTATCGCAATTAGAATCTTTTTTGACGTTTGATGTATTTACCTCTGCCACAGAAATTGTGACACTGAAATCCATATTATTTTATCTGTCAAAGAACGTGTGTCCAAATAACTTTATATCGCATCAAATATGTTGCATTATAAGAAAAATTCGTTTTGCTACTTCAACGTTCGGAAAGTGGTTCAGAAATGTAGCCTGGATTGTTTCTTTCTTCCCAATTCCAATATAAAACCAATCAAGGGAGTTTCATTCCTTAAGTAGATACTTCAATTCTACTATTGTTGCAATAAATTCTACGCTAGTCGGGAAAATAACAATTCTCTCCTACAATTTTGATCCTCAATGATCTTCTCTACGATAACTGATCAACTATTCAAAAAAATGATTTAAATTGTATATTCACCACATTATCTCTTACTACTGTACCGTCCACGAGGAATAGGTTGAAGAATTAACCAATTATGCATTAAATTAAGTTGTAAGTATCGATATACACTACATTTTTTTCGTTTTCACTACAATGCACAATCTTTTAAATAACATTTTTTTTTTTTACTTTTAATGAAGCACATTCACTGTATCATTTTCGTGTTCATATGCAAATGAATTCAGTCAATGCGCAACCAATGCAGCCAAAGCGTTGCATACCCACTTCTTCGCTCAGTCGTTCACACGTGCATTCGCTGTGCACGTTGCTGCATCGCGTGCCCGCCGCAAG